GCAAGAACAGGTACCAAGCAGCTCCCCACAGCGCTGCGCACAAGAGTCTTGAGCTCCTTGTTAAAGGAAGAAAAAAAAAAAGAGTCAGGAATGTTATTCAACTCTTCTAGATGTTCTCTGAAGCACAAGTACATCACCCAAAGGACTGCTGTAAGTAAATAAAATGGCCTGGTTATGTTAGTTTAGGAATGTGTTTAGGTGAAGGTTGTAATCACCTGCATATTACGGTTGTTTCATTTTGAATAGCAAAGTACATTTATTTACCTCCCAGACAGTATATAATTTCATTAATTCCATGGGTATTTTTACATGGCATAGACAGATAAATCTCCAGAGCAGCCCCTCAGTGAGGGTCACTAATTACATTTATTTTTGAGAATAAGTCTTAAACATACCAGAACAGGGGAAAGTTAAGATCAGCAATGAAATGGGCTCCAACACAAGTTTATTAAGAGCTACTGAAATGTCTGTGTTTTGTGCATTTTATTTGAGTCTGGCCTTAACAAGGCAGATACACAGGTGAGTAGGCTCTTGGCTTACAGACTATCAGTAATTACTGGACATCACATGGGAAACTACTCAACAAATAAAACAGTGAGAAGAAGACAAGACATTACAGTAACACTGTCAAAAATAGCAGATATTTAAGGGGGAGTTAATTGAGATGAACAAGCTGCAGAGACAGCTGGGAGCACTGAGGACCTTTTGGGATGTGGAATCTTGCAAGGACAACACTGCTGGGGAACTATATCAAGAATACCATGCAATGCTGAGATGATCTAGGTAAGTATCAGAAATTCTAAACTTGGACATGGATCTTGCAGAACTGGAACCAATTATGAAAAGGTAACTAAGGGAGGATTGATTATTTGGCAGGACACAAGCAAAAAGAAAGGCAGGGATCAAGGTGGGTGGTGAAGAACAAGCACAGAAAAATGCAAAGAAAGGAAGTAAAAACACTTGTTCAATATGGGAAGCTAGGAAGTTTTTCTCTGTCTTTAAATATATTTGCTCCATTCCCCAGATTGTCTGTTTACTTACAGAAGAGATCTACTGGCCTGCTGGAAATTACAGAAGAAGTGATTGAAAATGAAACCATGCAGGTAAAAGCTGGCCTGTGTGCCTTTGCTTTACTTGTAAAGATGGTATCAACAATTTCTTACCAAGCTGTGTATTCTGACCTGCTGGAAATTACAGAGGAAGGGATTGAAAATGAAACCATGCAGGTAAAAGCTGGCCTGTGTGCCTTTGCTTTAGCTTGCAAAGATGGTATCAACAATTTCTTACCAAGGTGTGTATTCTGCAGTAGATAAGTCAAAAAAGTTTGCAGTTAAAAGCAGCAAAATGTTTGAAAATCACTTACCTGCATTCCAAAGAGCAGTGAGGGTGGAAAGAACAAAGAAAGAAACATCCAAGCCAATGAATTTCATATTTTGTCCAGATGATTCAGGATGGCTGATTGTGGTAGTCTCTGTGCTAGTCTGGAAAAAGCCTTCAATGGGAACGGGTGTCCAGAAATAAACAAGATTCTCGCTGTTCAAAGGTTTGTTGCAAATTACTGAAGCAAAACAAATTGAATGAAATGCTCCATTTCAGAGGTCATCTCCAATCCAGGAAAAGATTGAAGGGGAGATAGTCACTGCAACTCCTTCACATTAACAGTCAAGTTTTTCTGAAAGGGGGGTAGATGTTTATTGTTTTATGAGCATTTCTGCTTCAAAGATCAAGGCCATGGGGTCATTGGCAAAAGTTCTATGCCTTAATTTTGCTGGAGGAACTAAAACCTGTTATCACTTAGGTGAATGATAAAGAATACATGCTGACAGTACAGTTTAGTTCAGAAGATAATGAGATATTGAGGAAGCATGCTTACTGCACTGGATGTGACAGCATGAGGGATGATTTAAATGAAGGTAGACGCCTCCTTTTCCATCATTTTAAGAGGTTAAATTGAAGAAAACTCACCCCTTTTCATCATTTTAAGGGCTTAAATCAGAGGATTCCCCTCCATTTCAGAGCACTTCTGCCTGTTCCTCAGCACCACGTCTCTCGTGTGGGAGCAGTCCTTGGATATATGCAATTTTGGAGGTGGAATTGAAATTCCAGCAATGACAGCTCCTTCCCATAGGAAGGAAAGCAGGTAGCCCCAGTGGCTCCGGTGCAGGTGACAGGCTGTCCTGGGGAGGTGAAGCCCCCAAGTCCTCTCTGTCCTGGCAGCTTTTGTCTGGGAGCAATCCTCGGATATATTGAATTTTGTGGGTGGAATCCGAGCGGCGGGCACATGAGCAGTGCCTGGAATGACTCGCTAGTGGCACCTTGTGACTCACAGCGCTACTGCAAAGCAGAAATCAGCCCCTGTGCAGCGCTTGCAAGGGATATTCGTGCTCAGAAACTGCAAACCATCAACATGCACAGGAGCAAGAAATTTCAGGCTGGAGCTGGGCTCTGAAAGCAAGGGAGCTGCAAGTGTTTCTTTGGATAAACCCATATGGAGAAATTCCCTTTTTGTGTCATCAGTCTGGGTCTGTAGGACTGAATCTTTGCAATTAAGAGACAATAGAGTTGTTAGTAGCACTTAAACCTCCCAAATGTTTTTACATCTCAGGGAACTGGGCCGGCACTGAGCTACTCCCATGTGCCTGGAGAGCTCTGGAGAGGAGCAAGGTGATGTCCCACTTCTGTCTGGAAAAAATGGCAAGAAAATTAAAAAAAAGTAGTTTCCCTTCTCTCTTTCTGATCCATAACTGAAGCAGTTCTGAGGACAACATGGACATCACTGCTCTCCCCCAGTTTGGGTGAAATGTTAATATAATTTATAAATATTCCCTCTCCCTGCTGCTCAGTCCTTCATTGCACAGAGAGCAGATTTACTCCATCTTTTGTTCCCAACAACACCTTTCCAGCCCAAATCCCAGTTCTCCCAGGCACAAACTAAACAGACCCAAGGCATTGGTCCTATTATTGCCTGGAATTCCCAGCTCTATGTTCCCTGGATTCTTCAAGCAAACCCTGACAGCAGTCTCACCTCAGCCCAGAGACTGAGCTCAGACCAAGCCCAGCACCAGTGCTGGTGGTTCAGATCACAAAGATGTAGGAGCAGCAGTGCTGGGCCCTGCTGGGATGGCCGTGGCATGGCTCTCCCAGTGCCACTGCTCCTGGAGCTGTAGGCTCTTAGGCTCTCTCAAGCCTAAGCCTAGCCCCAGCCTTCACAAAAAGGAAAGCCTTGTGTAGGCTGTTGAGTCCTCTACTGGAAGAGAGGGAGCAGCTCATCAGGAATGCACTTCCTTCATCTCTCTTGGCTCTGGAGCACCTTCATTATCATGCACAACCAGGACAAACAAGTGAGATTGGAAACCCTCTAAGCAAAATCTGTGCTCGGGCGAGTAGAGCTTTGCAGGACCCATACTAATCCTGCTCTACAAAGCACATTCCAAACATTTGGCACCTCCTGCATTTATGGAAATAAAGGAAGTCATGTCCCTACTGGCCTTCACCTCCTTCAGGGGTATAGATGGGCCCTGCCTCTCAAAGCTCTTGGCCCAGTGAGCCTGCCAGGGAAGCAAGCTCATGGCTGCCCTTGGAACCCGTCTCTAAATAGTTTCATTCTGGCAGGATGATGTAGTGGAGCCTGGCTGTTACTGCTACCCCCTGGGTCACACAAGGTAGCAGCGACGTGATGGAACAACTTGGGCTCTGTCACAGCAACTCATCTGTCACTGCCCCGCTGAGATGTGCAGCAGGCCTGGTGTCAGGGTTTGCTGCAGAGGGGGATGGTCCCAGTGCTGCTCCAGCGCCCACAGCAGGAGCTGTTTCTCGTTAGGAAACTGAAAAGCTTTTTACCATGCTGCCAAAGGCCATCTGTCTGTTTATTTGCTGCTGTCCTCCCTGCTGGGAGCTGGTGCAGATCTTTGCGCTTTGCCCTCTCCTGCCGGAGCCTTTGGCATGGGCAGAAGGAGGTGGCTGCAGTTGGGTGAGCTGGCACCTCTGCAGATCTGGGCAAAGCCATTTGGGTAATGCCTCTCCTTCCATGGGTGTCTGAAGACTAGTACAGGCTGACTTGGGAAGTGCTGCCAAGAGATTGCTGATCCTTCAGCAATTCCTGTTTCCTTTGGTCCCTACAGGAGGCTGCCAAGAGAAACGAGCTTGACCAACACCTGCAGGGGCTGCTTTACCATCTCTGAAGCAGCTTCCCTGCTCTCTGCTCCCAAAGCATGGGAAGGGCTCTCATGCTGTCCTGAGCCTTGCAAAACAAGGCTGAGTTTTACTTCCACTCTGCTCCCCACTTTCCTGTCTGTGTCTCTGAGGGTGAACAAGCAAAGAGCTGCCAGCAGGCTGCACTGACAGGCAGAGCTGAGTGTGCTCCTGCCCACACCATCTCAGGGCTGTTTGGGCTGGGCCAGGCAGGTGTGCCCAGGGGAGCTCCAGGGCTGTACCCGAGTGGAAGATTGCAGAGAGAAAGTGCTGCATTGTTCTCTACCTGCAGCCACCTTGCCTGAACACAGCTCTGAAGCATGCTGGCACAGAGGGATGTGAAGAGCTATGGTAAATGTTAAGGAATTATTCTAACATGCATCAGGAATACCCAACATAGCACTGAACTTCTGAAGACAGATATTTTGGGTGTTCCCAGCACTGCAGCAGAACAGTTTGTGTCACTGCTGTGCCTGGTCGAGCCCATTGCTATGCACAGAGCAGCAAAGAGAGTGTTGCTATTGGACTTTTTCCTTCACTTCTTACTTCTTGAAGCCATGATTGCAGAGCAGATTCAATTTTTTTAATGTCAGAAGAAAGGCCTGAATGTAGTAGTTAGTATTGTGTAGTATTTGGCAAACCATGCTGGATTAGGGCAGGGTGAACAGTAGGAGAAATATCAGAAGTCCATTCTAATCTTGCCTTTTATATGGATTACAAGTTATGTCACTAGGGACTCATATTCCAAACTGGAGACAAGCAGCCCCTTGTGACTGCTGGTGAAATCCAGCACCAGGAGGGAAAATGGAGCAGCAGCCAGCTGGGGAGACAGTGCCTTCCCAGGAGCAGCGCAGCTCAGTCCTGGTGCAAGAACAGGTCCCTGGTCACAAACTCCTGTGGTGAATGTTTGACTCACGGCCTGTCTTCTGAATCCTTTCCTCACTGCTCCCAAGCTTCCCTCCTTGGGCCATGAGCCAAGGAATCAGGCATATCAACCAACAGACCGTTTGTTTTTCCAGGGGCTGTGTAAACTGTGCTGTTGTTATCAGTGAAACCAGGTCTGCTCGTGGCCTCCTGCTCTGCGGGCGGTGCAGGGCTCTGATCTCCTGCTCCTGGGGCTCGATCTCCTGCTCCTGTGCTTTCTGAGGGTGGGGCAACAGCTTGCACGAGTTTCCAGAGCACCAAACACGAGGTGAGCACTCTGTAACTGCTTCCAAAGAAAAGCTGGCCCTACCACAGCTGTGTATTTGGACTTGCAGCAGATGTGAGAGTGGCAAGGACATCATACCTGTGTGGTTGTGCAGCCAGAATTGCTGAGCTTTCCAGTGGTTTTGCCCTTGCTCTGACATAAGGACATGAAAATGCTGTTCTTTTGAATGTGCTGTTTATCTGGTTAAAGGTTTGCTCTGGTCGAGTGGGATGTAACAAGGCTGGAGCAGTTTTGAAGAAGGTCCAGGTCTGGATTTTTGCTCAGATCTGGAGCAAAAGATCTATATCTTTTGGTGTTTGATTCAGTTCGCTCACAGCCCCACAGACAGGATTTACCCGTGGGAGATTCTGCCCTGTGCTGTTCTTCATAATCAACAACCATCCTTGATGTACACCCTGATAAGGCTCCAGGAATCCACTCATCCTGCTGTGATAAAACTCCCTGTGCTGGTGCTCCAGCCCTGCACACCTGGGCACAGCCCTGGAGCAGCCTCTGCCTCTCTTGTGTGCTGATTTGGCTCATACCCAGCTCTGTCTCTCTTTTGCTTCTCCCATCCTCACAAAACCAAGCTCAATCTGCTCGTGTGTGTGTGTGCTTCAAGAGCCCTGCCAGGAACAAAGAGAAGTCCAAATATTTGTGTTGGGCTGTTACTCTTTCCATTCAGGCGATAAATGACAGACTGCAGCAGAGTCTTTGTGTGCTGTGTGGGATTTCCACTGAAGCTGGCTCCAGCTTCACAACCTCACCAAGATGAAACACCTACAATTAACAGTTGGGTTTTAACTGGAGGGAAAATGACTGAGCATGATTGAAATATGGCCTAAAAAAAAACCCCCAAACATCAAAACCCAAAACAAAAACCCACAAACAAACCAACCACAAAAAAAAAAAAAAAAAAACAAACCAAAACCAAAACAAAACAAAACAAACCCAAACAAACAAACAAAAAAACAGAGAAAATCATCAGATCTTCCCTGTGTCAGATGAGAAGTGCCTGGTCTCTGTGTGCATGCAGAACAGAATTTTCACTCTGAGCTCTGGGAGCTCTGCTGGTGATTTCTGTCCCAGAGCCTGAGACACAAGCTGTCAGTCTGCACACAAATATTTCAGAGCTGCTTTCCTCTGCAAATTTTCAAGCTTAAATCCATGTGGAGCCTGAGTTTCCTTGGGACTGAACCTCTTTTTGTCCATGCTGACCAAGGGAATGGAGATGTTTGCTAACAAATTAATTCCTGAACTTCAGATCTCTGCTTCTGGGAAGATGCTGGGCTTCAGTGCTTGGTAAACCCAGGAACAGAATAGTGGGACAGCTCCAGGTGTGAGCTGGCTCAGGACACAAGCTGGTCTGGTGACACTGGGCCTGTTCACCATTTGGGATAAAGGAAGGAAATCATAATCCAGCCTTGTGGGAGTTCACATACCAACGTGCCAGACAAATTCTACTTGCTCCCTCAAGTAAACTTGGTGTTCCCTGCTAGTGCCACCATGAGTTTTCTCACTCAGAAGTTTCTTATAAGGAACTAATTAGGCTTGAAACCTTAAGGATTGACTCTTCAGACATAAATACTCCCTATAATTACCTTCTCTTTGGATGATATCTTTAGTGTTTCATTTTACACAGCAGACAGTACTAATATTATAACATCAAGTTAAATCACATCTACTTTGGGCAACTGAAAAGCTATCAAAAGTGACAGGAGCTTCAGAAAAAAACCTAATTTCAGAAAAGAATCATGTCAGAAATCTTTATGGCTTCCTTTTTTATCCTATTCATTTCACTCAGCAGAGAAAAGAAGCACCGAGTCTGCTTCAGCCGCTGTTTGCAACAAGGATCCATTTTGGCAGACTCTTTAAGCTCCTTCCTTCTTAGGTCACTTCTGAGATCACATAAATGCTGAGGAACCTCCCAGCAGCCTGTTTCACTAAGTGCTCTGCCCTGTTTTGCTTCTGGGCTCAGGCTGGCACTTGAGAGTTACGCCTACCTGGGCTGTAATAAAGTACGTAAATGTTCCAGGCAGAGAGTAGAAGGTGGATAGAATCTGTATGGTCTACTTTAGAACTGCCAAAATTCAATTTATTACCACAGCCTGACCCTAACCTTCACTGACTGACACCTTTGAGGAGTGGGTAGCAGAGAAATAAATCCTTTACTGCCCTTGAGTCTTCATTACTGGCACTTGGGAGAGGTCAAGGGTACAAGGACAGAATTTTGCTAAACATATTTATTTTTCAAGATAAATGAAATATAGGTCTCAAACCCTTTGCCAAGGCTATGTGTGCATCACTATTTAAAATCAGTTAATTGATAACAGTTCTTGCAATCAGTCCAAGGAATTCTGTTGGAAACTTTCTGGAAAATACAAACCTGTTACAGCCAATGATAAGGGGTATTTCTCTTTAATAAAATTAGAAGGTAAACAGCAAAGAGGCCTTGAATTTGTTTTCTTTTTGGATAATGAAAAAAAAAAAAGCAGATGGTATGTAAGCCAGCAATGTATAAGCTGGTCACTTTATGTAGCTACAGAATAGGTTTAACAGTGCCTGAAATCATTGCTCCTGTGAATCTGAAGCACATTTTCATGACTTATGTTCTCCTGAAATTTTTCATCTCCCCTCTCCTCTGATAAGCCATCAGGCAGGGATTCAGGCAGGCCTGCCCACCAGCCCAGTGGTTCTTCATTCCCACTTGCAACCTGTGGCACTCCAGTGAGGAGCTTTGTACAGAAACAGCCCAACACTGGCAGGTCAGTCCTGAGCACCTGAAGGAGCTTGGCTGCAGAGAAAATGAAATCTGGGGTGTGGTGTGCTGCTCAGGAGCTGCAGCTGGGATGCTCAGGAGCTCGTGCTGCAGGGATGCCCTCACATGGCCCGTGCCAAGCAGCTGGCCAGGGCCAGGCAGGACATTTCCTGGGTGATGCAGACAGCTGTGCCTCCTGGTCACAGGGAACTGGCCAAATGATGACACAGGCACACTTGATGTGCTGTGTAACAGCAGACCCTCTGTGATTCAGGTAAGAGCACACTTATGTTGTTAAAATGGTATCATTTGCTCCAGGACCTATTTGTGCATAGTCCTTCTAAAGGAATCCAACCACAAGAATTTCTCTGATCAAATTAGGCAGGTTGGCTCGACGTGGGTGGGTCTGTGGGTGGCAGTTCTCATCCTTGGTGACAGAGCTGACTTGCAGTGCCTGGCAGTGTTTGTGTTTCCATTGTTTCTGATATATTTTCTCTTTTTATATGTATTTCTTTAAGTGCTCTTGGGGCATCCTATTTACATGTGAGAAACCTTGCTCTGAAGCTCACTGTCAGAAAAAACGAAACCTCCCATCTCCCAGGGCCTGTTCCTGCCAGCTCTCCCTCACCTGGGATGACCAGAATGAACATGCAGGTGTGACAGGGAATGAGTGTGCACCTTGCTATGGCTGTTCCTACCCTTGTCCAGTGGCTTTTTCTGTGTCACAGTCACAGGGGACAGCTCTTCTGTGCTTTACACAACAGGCTGTGCTCACACGGGTATCAGCAGATTACTTCTTTATCACAGCCTCAATTTCATGTCGTGTGACACATTAAATTGATGTTACACATGTCTTTCAAGTTGATTCTCCTCCCAAGCATGTTGGCTGGCATTAGCCAGCTCCTATGCTGGCTCAAGTCAGTGTAATTAGAATTTTTTCATCTGGCTGAGAGAGGCCCCAAGCTCCCGTATGGGTGCTACAGTAAATTGAGAACGGTTGAGTAAGTTCTGAAAACATACAGCCTGAGGATGATGAAGCACTTGGAGTTTTTAATGAAAAATATATTAGTTAAAAAAATAAGACTGTTGACAGAAAAATCTGATTCTCAGTGTAAAATCTGAAATCTAAAGCAAGTTGTGCCAAGCTCAAAGCCTAGTCTTGTGAGCCACAGGATAATGTCACCAAAAATCAACAAGTTTTCTTAAATCAAATATTTCCAGTGTTCCTCTCCTACCCTTAGCAACCATTTAAACTCTATTCTTTTGCTTTTTGGTTTTTCCTCTTTATCCATAATATTTGGCTTCTGAAGGAGAAAATCTTAAACATATAATCAGTATTGCTGAAATTATACAATATCTATCTAAACTGAGCTGATTAGCTGATTATTAATGGAAAATGTACTACATTTCTTCCCAGGCTTAGGTCTGTAATATTATGTCTACACAAGAAAACTCAAACAGACCTTTAGGGTCCTGAATATGGGAAGGATCACGCTAAGACTGCCACATTAAAATTGTGGGGCATTTTCTATCTCCTGTAAGTCCCACAGTCCCATAAGCTTTCCTGTACCAATTCCTTTGTGTTCCTCAGAAATTTATACCTTTGACTAGCATGATCCCAGGCTTTCCTATGACCTCTGTTACTGCAGTTGAGCACTGGCCCCACAATATTCGTTGTATTTCTCTACTCTGCATTCCACTCACCTTATTTTACAGAGGGATAGAGGTATAGAGGGGTTAGAGAAGTCTGTGCATATCTTAATTCTCATTATGTTGTTGCTAATGAAGAGGTGCCCAGAGCTTCCCAGGAAATTCATTGCAAAGCAGGGAGCACAAATTCACCCAGGACTTTGGAAATGTGTGCTCAAACCCTCTCTTCCATGCCCTGTCCGTGGGGTCAGACCATTCTTTTTATAGTGTTAAGCAAGTTCATAACCTTTTTGCAGAAGGAGGGACAGATAACCTTGTTTACCATATTTTATCTTGTGGTTCATTTTTGGCTCCATTCTGGTTTCCAAGTATTTGTCTGATTTTGTTTATTTGACTAGAATGGAAGGGAACTGCAATTAAATAGAAGTGGTATTAATAGCTTGTTGCATGTGGCTCTGCTTTCTGTGACCAGATTACACTAATGTTGCTATTCAAGCCTTGAAGCTGCAAAAAATGTCCCATCCTAATTACATAACCCCAGCTGAGGTCCCTTGGTAATAGGTGAGTGCATAAAACTCTTCCTGACAAGTTTCTCACGAGTCAGAGGATGTTGGTATCCTGCTTATTATGCCGTGTTAATTTTAAAAGGCTCTTGTCAACCAATAACCCAATAACTTTTATTCCCTCTGGGTTTTGTTAGGTTAATCCATGAGTCATGGAATATTTGACTATGAATTCATGACTCATGGGAAAGCACCACGGCCATCACAGTCCTGGATGATCTTGCTGCCGGGTGCTGCCTGGGCATGTGCCTTCCCTGTGCTTGGATGAGCACCACAAATGCATCCTGCAACACTGCAGAGCATCAATAAACCCAAAACTCTCCCCTAGGAAATATTAGTGTTAACCTGGCTTATGAGCAGAACAATTCTCAGGACTTATATCCAGGGGAGAGCATTGGTGATGGACAGAGAATTCAAAAAAACAGGGTCAGCCTTTTTCCTCTTGCTTTTATTCAGATATTTGCTTTTATTAGTGATGGTGTCTTGTTGCATTTGACAAGGGACAAATGACAAATGCTGACCTGTGTATATTTCTGATCTTTAATTGGGCATAACCATTACTGCATTAGTTGCTACAAAAATCAAAGTAGTACAGAAATAATGATGAGAAATTAGGTTTTTTAAGGCCTTGTCATTTACAAAGATAAGGGAAAGGGAGAGATAGAAGTCTAGGGGACTGAAATATCTAAATACTTCTCAGAAATGCATCTCTGATTTGTCAGGCTAGAGACCTTCAGTCCCAGGCAAGTGCTTCAGCTAAACTGCATTTCTGGGAAATTGCTCTGTGCATTTGTGGACCAGAGAGCTCAGGTCCAGAAAAACACACATATTAAAAAAAAATAAAAATCAGATATCAGATTACAAATAATTTATCACCTTGCCCTTAGGTCTTCCTTTGCTGTGGGGTTGTAAGTGCTGAAGTATAGATATGGGTGAGTATGATGTCTTAGCAGAGCAGTTGGGTTGTTTTTAACAGAAATTATTTTAAATTTTTTAAAATGTGTTTGAAAGCACTAAACACAAAAGAAATCTTTCCCATGATCCACTGAGAGCTTTTCTTGCGTGCCACTAATGGCTGCAGGCTTTCATGTGGGAGAACGGTCTCTCTGGTTTCCTAGAAATACACAAAGACAAGGAATCATTGCTTTGGAGTGCTGCAACACAGTGACAGATCTCAGCTCTGCACCCAGCAGTGTCCAGCCTTGCTGCAGGGAGCTTCTGTGCCGCCTTTCACATTCCTGGGAGCAGCCTGTCCTTGTCAGTTGAGAAAACTGATAACAGGTCCAGAGGAAGAACCCGAGTTTGTCTTTTCTCAAGTGATCTTTCTGTGTATCCACAGGAGTGGTAGTAGCATGATAGCCTTCAAGGCCTGTTTCTGGAGTAACTCCTCATCCTGGGCTTTTAGGGAAACTTTCAGCCTCTGCCCAAAACCAAAACACTGAAAACAAACCACAGAACAGGGGAGAGAGCTGGGCATGACACAATTTGCTTATCCAAGGACACAGTTTGTCCTTGAGTGTGTCACTGCTGCCAGGGGTTTGCCCAACCTGTCCCAGGGAGGCTCTAGCAGTGACCTGGGCAGCCTGCTCCCCTCCTGAACCCATCAGCAGGGGCAGAGCTCCTTCATCACTGCTGGAGCTTCTCATGTCTCATCCTATCTCCTGTGGCCATTCCTTGCTGTTATTCACATATCTGTAAATAAAAGAAGCTATCATTTCTGCCCAGCTTTACACTGCATGAGTAAGGGCCTGGCTGGAACAATGCCTATTTAAAATTGTGTGTGCTACTGGTCTGCTTGAAAACAGAGACAACTCTGAGCCAGTTAGTCATAAAGAGGAAAGTTTATTAACAATCCCTTCCCAAGGCAAAGCTGGAAGCTTGCTGGAAGCAGTTAGGAATCCCAAATGAGCTGGTCCCATGAGGAACAGTGCTCCTGGCTGTGCCTCCCTTCTCTAGGGCAGCAGTGCTGATGCACCAAACCCCAGAAAGAACCCAGCTGCAAAGAAAATGCCTGACAATTCTATTTTTAAACTGGTGCATGTTCTTGACCTCCCAGGTTCATGACAGAGAGGAAGAAATGACTGTTCTATAAGCCTGCATTCTTCTGTGGTTCTTTGCTGTAATCCAGCTGTGAAAGGGGGTTAAACCTGCTCTGAAATGGGCACCTCTTAGAGAAGGAGAAGCAACCAGGCCTCTGATTCATAACAGGACAGATACAGGTTTCTCTGGAAGTTATTGCAGTCTTGTAATATTGTAGATTTCATTGGTGAATTTTGTGTCAAAGCTGCTTTTGAGAAGGATGGAGATGCCAAAGGTAACAAATGTGAATTCACTGTCCACCTGGATTGCTTTGGAAAGACTTTTTTGGGCTGAAGAGTTCTTTCTGACTATGAATTTCAGCTCTCTGCTAGAGAAAAGAGAGGGTCCTTAAACCTGGAGGCTTCCCCTGCATTAGTCATGCAGAGGCCACGGAAGCAGGGCTGGTGCTGGAGCGTGCTGGAGCTGCTGCAGAGGATCCTGCTGACTTGAATGGACATTGGAGGGGATCCCAGAGCACAGGCTAAAGTGAGGCCCATATCCCACCTGAACAAACCTTGGCTTCACCAGGACTGGCACAAGGGAGCCCATGGATGGCACACACCAAAGTGTGTGTGGCTGTGGAGGGAAGCTGAGGGTGGTGAGAGTGGGTCTGTTCCCAACCAGGACAGAGACAACATCGTGTAAAGAACTGCATGATGAAACCTGCTGATTTATGGACAAGCAGTACTTGTTCTGGCAAAAAATAGCTTCCAATTAGCCTGAAAACAGACTGCTCTGGGTGGATTTGCAGACTCTTATTTATTGGCAAACTTAATTTTAATATAATCAGCTGCTTGGCAGGCAGGTTAGGTAATGATCCTTGATGTGAGCACTAACAGATTTGAACACTGAGCACAGCCTTTAGTGCCCAGAGCCCTCTGCCAGTAGCTGAAATGCATTTGATACTAAAATGCCATGGGAACTCAGGAAGGCCCTTGCCAGAGCACCTTGCTGAGTACATGAAAATGCCACCTTCAATAATTCACAATGTCTGTTCAGTAAGCTGGTGTGTATGTGCAGGGAGGGGGGTAATAAAACATCTCAGACCTGGCCTGCCAGGATAATTCAGTGGCTAGTTAAATGTCTCAGCACTATTAATCAATAGAGTGGCTCACAGAATAAATAAATCCAGAATGTAATATGACAGGGCTATAGAAGCACATGGAAAGCAACTCTCCCTCCCCTGTGTGCCATGCTAAGTGCCACACTGCCCCAGCAGTTATTTGAATAACCTCAATGCTCTAATACTTCAAATACTCAGACCTCCTACCAGTGCAATCCCATGTTTGAATGTCACCTAAATGTTTTAAACTTTGCTCTGTGTGTGATGCAGGGAGCTGGCTGTGAAAGTGCAGATTGCAGACTCCATCACTTAAGTCAGTGTCTCATTTCACTGATCAAGAGCTGATGTTGTGAGTGGAGGATCACTCCTTTCCTAAGACAAAAGCATTTTACCAGAGCTGGAATTATGTTTCTGCAGGTCCCTGGTGAGGTATGAACAACACTCTTGATACAATTTCTACTGCTGCTGTAAATCTGCAGATGTTTTCAGAGCTCCAGATTAATCTACTCCTTCAGCCTCTGTAGGAATGCAACACAACAAGGCAGTGTTCAAAACTCCCTTATCCTGGTGAATTTGGTGCAGTTGTACTGTAATATCTGTCTTATCCTTGCTGTAAATGAGCCAGAATCCAGCCTACTAGCAGACATCAGAAACCAGTATTATTAAACAACATAATTTTAACTTTCCATTAAATTCAGCCTGTATCTTCCCTTCTTCCCTTCTATTCATTAATGCCAGGCTAATATTTACCTTTACAATTTACAGATATTTGTAGACTTCCACATATTTCTTCCACCAAACTGATCTTCAGCCAAGCACTGCATATTCAGTACCTTCACTCCTTCTGATGAACCTGGCAAAAATTCCAGCTTTCAGGTTAGTGTTGGCTCTGCCCAGATACTGGTGGTGATTATGCTCAGCCATTGGGGTGTTTGTGGAAAGCGGATGTGTAACTGCCTTAACATGCCTGAATTTGCATCAGACTTTGAATCCACATGAATACAGAGTCTGCTTTTCATCCACATGTACTCTGAAACTCAAACTCTGATCTTTCCTCCTGTGCTACTCTGTCCATCTTCTTTGGCTGTGAATATCCAGTTTCAAGCACACATTTCTGTGAAGAAAATAATTACCCAGCAGCAGCACCCCTACAACTGAGCTACAGCACATATTAAAGCTCATCTTCAGGCTTCAGTGCTCATTTCACACAAAGAGGAGACATGGGACCAATTATAAGGCTCAGCCCATGTGCAGTAACATGTTCAATCACATCTTGCTCATGTGCCCAAGCCTCATAATCCAGCACTTCCTCCAGAAATATTGATTTGCTGTCCTGTCCCTTAGTCCTTGTTTCCCTGGGGCAGTTGCTGTAATGAAAAGATTACACAGGAAGGCCTTGGAGATTCCCTCTGTATCAAGCAGAAGTCTGAGTTCAAAACAGAGATACACAGCAAGGGAAAGAACTTGTTCTTTGTGATTGTGTCTGGAAAGGATTGTCCCATGCCTTTCAGACACAGCTTCATGGGTGGCTGCTGGGAAGCTTCTGATCTCTCACTGGGCACTGAGGGGAACGCCAGGCAGGAGCTGCTGAACTAGAAAAGCAAAGACAAGATCTTGGGAAAGATGGCTGTCTGGCCCACAGCAGTGCTTGTATTAAGAAGCTGGAACTGTCTAGAAAAGCATCATGAAAATATGGAAATTTCCTAATGGAAATCTTTATTTTGTCTTTATTATGAATCAATACTCTGAGTTTCTTACACAATTCCCTCACACTTCTGTAGCTTTAACCAATTCCCCAGCTCAGAGATAATTACATTGTGCCAAGAGGTAAGGATGGCACTCTTGGATTACAGGAGGTAGAAACAGCCATATTTATGACTCCTGACTAAAACATGGTATTGGAAAAGAGCATTACTTGAGTCATCAGGATATCACTTGACCATTGCTTTCCTTTACATTTAAATTAGAAAAAAAAAAGAATAAAATTGCATTAAATTAAAAAGAGACTTTCAAGACAATATTCCAAGGCTTCCCACAGTGGGTGTATTGTATGCTTATATTATTCTCCACCCATTGTAAATCTCAGCAGTAGATCTTCCCCCGCTGATGTTTTGCATTAGTAAATTGAACTCTCTACTCTGTCCCCTCAAAGATTAATGCCTCCATCTGAGGAAGTAGTTGAATACGTGCTGGCAGTAGTGCTTTCATGATTAGCAAATGGGAGACTGTGGGAGGAGAACAGAATTTGCATGTGTTGGATGTTGGCCTAAACATACTCTCACTGAATTCTGGACATCAGGGAAGAATTGATACAACACAAGCTTTTAATCAGAAAACCACAGGAAAAAAAAAATTGAAGAATCCTACATTTAATTAAAAAGCTTTTCAGCCCTCTTTGTTCCAAAATGAGCAAATGTGTCTGCAGAGTGCACTCCAAACATCTCAAACCCATATTTGCTGTCAAGGGGCATTACATTTTATTAGTGGTCCTGGGGGAAGTTTCTAAATTTTTGTAGAAGTTCAAAATACTTTCACCGAGCTATTTTTTTGAAGACACACAATTGAAAGATGTTTGATTGCTACAAATGTTAAACTGATCATTCAGAGTGGATGTGATACCTCATGTGCCCCTGGTATCCAGTACTACTTGGTCCTGATCCTAGTACAGACTTTTATTCTGCTGTCTTGAAGTCTCTTTTACTCATTAGAAAGCTACACAGTGAGCCTGCTTAAAAACAAAAGAAATTTGCCTAAAACAAAACCAAAATGTCAGCAGAGAGGAGGCTGACTTTGCCACCTGGCTCTGTAAACAGCCGCATGCAAAGAGCTACCTTAGGACCCACGTTTAGTCAAATCTAACTTATGTTTAACTTTTTTTTTCACAACCAACAGCACGTGAAGGAACAAATAAGCACACTCAGTACAGAACAAAGGACATTCATCAGTGGGATATTTTGGCTTCTAATTGAACAGCAGTCATATCAACTTCCTCCTTCACCCAGGACTGTGTGTCTTTGCTGTGCTGGGGAAGGAAAGGCAGGAACACCTGTGGGCACTGCAGATTTTACCACAGCTCTTACAAGAGTGCACTTGTTAACCAGAGTGCTCTGGCTGCTTTCCAGCCAAGGCAGATACACGGTTTTGCCTGCTTAGAAATCATCTAAGTAGTTTCAAAACTTTTTGTTCACTTCCTGCCTTAAACTTTTTCAACTATTACCTTCTGCATTAGAGACAGTGGCTTTTAACAAGGGGTCAAAATAATTCCCATCTGTCATTTGCCAAGTACCATTTTTTCTTTGAAAGTCTGCTGATGTTTGACATTTTTACTGGTTTCTGTGTTAGTTTTTAAATTAACCCCTTATGATCATTAACAAAGGCCTGAAATTGTAGATGCGGATGATATAGAAGTGTGAAAGAAAACAAGTAGCAAAATATATTGTATGTTTTTTAAAAGGAGTTCTAAAATTAATTTCTGTTGAAATTACAAAGGTGCTCTAGTCTTGTTTTGGTTTAAGGGCTACTTCAACATAGTCAGTTTTCAGATTCCCACTGAAGAATATCCTTGTCACTTTCACAGTTCCCAACAAGCACTAAACTGCTGGAAATTGAGATGCCAATCCCTACCAGTCAGGCACTGCCTCTTTTATACTGCCATTTAGTACACACTATCATTTCCCCACTAAAATTTTAAGTGGAGGAATGTACCTGAACACCAGTTATGTAGGAACCAAGGACAACAGACCAGGAGCCAGATAGCATATCAGACAGCCACTGCCTTAGTGCAGATAACACGTCCTGACGCTGTGAAGTGCTTTGTGTGCCCAGCTTGTGCCGAGAAGGGTGATAACTGCAGCCACCCCGCGTCACAACACCGAGCACCCTGCGTGCTGGGTGTCTGCAGAGCTGCTGGCATCACCGCACCGCGTGTTTGGAACTGCAGCGCTGGCACAGGTCGATACCCGGGTCGATACCTCGCAGTTGGGTAAAAAACAAACTTCAGGCAGAGCATGCGAGCAGCGGTGCTGCCCACGAGGAGCGGTGTTTTCTCTGCAGTTGGAATTTGACGTTGTGATAAGCGTACAAACAGGAGCGAGTGCGCAAGTGGTGTGAGTGCTGCCAGGGCTGCTGGATTTGGGCAGCCTGGAGCAGAGGATGGGGAAACGTGTGAGAGGTTCCCACCACGGGGGGAATGACCGTGAGCCCACACCCACAGGGCAGAGCTTGTGGGTCACTGCACAGCAAGAGATGGGATGGCCAAACCGCACACCAGGCTCAGGCTGGGAAAGGTTTCTTATCGCAGCAGTGATTCCATGCCGAGCTCTGGAGCAGGATATCGAGAAGGATCTGTCAGAGGAGAGCTGCATGGAGGCACCCTCGGGCACTTCTGGAGGCCTGGCTGGCTCCCCATGGAGGAGCCGTGGTGCCCTGGCACAGGAGCAGGTGGAGAAGGGCCAGAGCCTATGGAGGAGGAGGTGGGCTGTGCTGGGAGAGAGGAAGGGGTGCTGGGGATGCTGGGGCTGGGACACTTTATGGGTCCTGGGCTGAACTTCACCCCAACCAGACCCATTTGTTTAATTGCTTGAAACATCAGCTAGTCTGTTCAGCCTGGAGGAGATGGACAGGAGACCTCATTGTGGTGTACAATGTGGGGTTGGGAAGGGAAGTGAAAGGGCAGGCACTGATCTGCGGTGACAGTGACAGAACCCCAGGGAATGGCCTGAAGCTGTGTCGGGGCAGGTTCAGCATGGATGTTGGGAAAAGGCTCTTTGCTGGAAGGTGGCTGTGCACTGGAACAGGCTGCCTAGAGAAGTGGTGACCACCGAGCCTGACAGAGCTCAGGAAGCATTTGGACAATGCTCTCAGGCACGTGCTGGGATTCCTGGGGCTCTGCTGTGCCGGGCCAGGAGCCGCACTTCAATATCGCTGTGTGTCCCTTCCAACTCAGAACATCCCATGATTGTGTGACCTCCCAGCGGCCCGGGCGGGTGGCTGCCAGGAGCCCTCCCTGCCCGGCCCGGCCCGGCCGGGGCCGCGGCAGCGCGGCGCTGACTCAGGCGGGCGGCAGGCGGCGCCTTTAAATGTGCCGGGCCCGGCCGCTCCGCCTCAGGTGCCCGCTCCGCTCCGCACAGCTTTGTCCGGGCCCGGCCGAGCGAGCGGCGGCTCCCGCGGAGCGACCCCGGCCCCGCGACCCCGGCCCCGCCAGCGCTCACAGCCGGGGGCGCGGGCGGCCCTTAAGGTGGATCGCGCTTAAGGTGGAGCGCTGCCGTGAGGCGGACCGGGCGTTAAGGTGGATCGCGCTTAAGGTGGACTCTCGGCGAAGCCGCGCCTGCCGGCGGGGGGGCCGGGGCTCGGCATGGGGAGCCCCGCCTGAAGCGGGGCCCGAGGAGCCGCGCCGGCCCGGCCCGAGGAGGAGATGGGGGAGGCCCGCTGCTGAGGAGCCAGCTTCGCCCCGGCCGCTGACAATGCCCGGCTCCCGGCCGCTCGGCAGGAAGAGGCAGCCCATGGACGAGGGCGAGGTGGGCAGCGCAGCCCGGCGCGGAGCTGCCGGGGCCGGCGGGAGCGGGGCTGCTCCGGCTCCCGACCCGCTCCGAGGGGGGCGGTGGCGGGGGGCACCCCCGTCGCGTTTGGATTGGGAGAGGTTTAATTTTCTTTAAAGGCAGCTCCTTCATCACCGCCATCCTCCTCCTCCTCGTCCCTTTGCAGCTCTGAAGCCGTCCCGGCCGCAGCCTGCCCGCCGGCCCCCGGGACCCCCCGGCGCAGCGCCATGGAGACGGTGGGAAAGTTTGAGTTCAGCAGGAAGGACCTGATCGGGCACGGAGCCTTCGCCGTCGTCTTCAAAGGCAGGCACAAAGAGGTGAGAATCCCTGCTTTTTATTTCCACCCTCCCCGCTTCTGCTTTTCATTTATTTATTTATTTCCTGCCCTGGGCCGAGCTGGGGGCAGCGCGCCCCGGTCGCCGCATCCCCGCCGCAAGCGGCAGCTGTTGCCAGCCTGGGCATCACCCCGGGCTTCTTGGGGTGCTTATTTTTATTTCTTATTGTTCTCCTTGGAGTTTCTTCCAAGCAAGCGTGTGTCCCGGCAGGTGCTTCACCTTGGGGCTGGGAGGCCGACAGCTGCCTGTGGGGTGCCCACAGAGACACCCAAAACCTGTCCCCACCTCCAAAACAAGGGAGAAAAAAATCCCTACACACTATCTATGAAAGGAACTCTTTAGTTTGTTTGGGATTTTTTTGTGTGTGTGTGTCTGTGAAGTCTTCTCCTTCTCCACTTAATTTTTCCAGGAGGAGGAGAAATCTCTTACTGGTAAATAAAAGGAAACCAATCCGGCAGTGGATTTTCCATCATTAGTGCTTGGGATAAGCCACGGCTCCCACAGTGCATTTATTTCTAGTGATTAAATAAGAGGATAATCATTGTATGAAGTAGTAACAAAAACCTAAACCTTGGGCTTTTCTCCTTGGGCTGACAAGGATAATTCAGGAAAGGGCAAGTCTGAACAAGTACGGAGAAGGCATTAGGATGTGAAGTGAGAGGCCTTTACCGTGCTGCATGACACTTCTTTCGGTAGTATTTGTAATCTGTTAAGAGGCTGCTTATCCTAATGTGAATGAATGGTGAAATTTACATTTGTTTGTGTTATTTA